AGATTTGAAAATCTGATAAGCAGAGCAGTTGGGAATAGATGCTTTGGTTGATGCACTCTAATACCCTTTCATAGCATATCACATGTTAGGGTCTTTCAGCTAATTCTTGGTTGATGTAGATGGAACAATGTCATTAATGCTGATATTAAATGAACTGTATTTGGGTTATTCAATCACATAAAACAATGTTTTTTTTTTGAAACAGATAATACAAGTGGTATTCATGGTCCTAATCCTGCCTTTTCAATTAGAAAGCTTTTTAATATTTATGTTTTCAGGTTAATTTATTATAATTGTAAGACATCCATATCTTTAGGGAGTTCATCTCACACTGGGTAGTCAACATTTTTATTTTATTGATGGTCAATATGTCTGTGATATTCAGCTTCTTTATCATCTATAGTTATCCTTTGTCAATACTGAAAGTTTAAACATAGCTAGACATTTTAAATAAATTAAAAAGGTACTTTTCAACTTGATGTAAAACTTTAAATTTTTCCATTATAATATTAAGACATTATATTTTCTGAAATGTTAATAAAAGTGTCCCCCAGGAGGGTGCCCAAGAATGTTGAGTTGGGAAGGTGGGGGCATTGCTTTCTGTTGTCTGTGGACACATCCGCATCTACCATGTCCTGGAAACCATACCATGCTCAGGGATGGGTACTACTCTCTCTATATGGTCACATACGTGTTATATATATGTAGGATGAAAAGTACTGGGCAGGTGATCTGGAGCACTGGGTTAAGCTGACTCTTATCATGCTAGCATCCTATATCAGAGTGCAGATTTTGTGCATCCCACCTCCTCCACTCTCCAGGCAGCTTCCTGCTAATGTACCTGGGAAGGCAGTTAATATCGGCCCAAGTACTCAGATTTCTGTCACTCATATGAGAGACCTGAATGGAGTTCCTGGCTCCTGGCTTCAGCCTGTCCCAGCGCTGACTGTTGTAGCCATTTGGGGAGTAACAAGCAGATGAAGATTCATATTTTCTCTCTCTCACTTTCTCACTTTCAAATACACAAGTAGGTCTTTTTTTTTTTTTTTAAATATAACAGGATCCTAAACCAATGATAACTAAGCATCCCAAACCAATGATAACTAAGATGACCCTAGGAAAGCAAACTTCACTTTATCACACTGTCATAAGCTATGAGTGTCTTTGGTTGGAAACAGTTATGCCTCTCCGAGTACACTGAGGACTACTTCTGGAATGGTGGCAAATGATTGGTACCAATTCATCAACAACGGGCTCTTCTACAGAGACTTTTGCTTGCTCTCTGGAGGAGATGGCTGTTGCAGTGGTATTTTCCCAAGATATCTAATGTGGTTTTCTCTGAAATCCACATATCTAGAGGATATGTATGGGCTTCAAAAAGTTCACAGAAAATTAGGATATATAATTTTATTTTGGTGCAAAAAACCTGAAATCCATGCATAGTTTTCCATAGCTCACATTTTCCATGAACTTTCTCAAATCCTTCATGTGTTCACGTATATATCTTTCTTTCCTACATTACTTTCCCCCCCACTTTTGACCTCACTGTAATCCAATAGTGTTGAATAATTTATGGGAAATGGTTCTCAGAGCCCACCTCTCCAGAGTTCTTGGTGATTTCCATGAAAAGACAGCATAGCTACTTGGGCAACATCAATCAGGGAATAAAAAAGGGATTTTCTCATAATTTTCTCAAGGACTGGCTTGAAGTAGAAAAGAGTTATATTTTGAGTTTGGGCTTGAGAAAGGAGAACAGGAAAGGGTATGGGACATAGAGAAGGTAGTTCAGTTAGGCGATAAAGGCGACGCTTCAGAAAGAGGGCAGCTCTTCAGTGTTCAGCACAAAGCAATCAGGGCAGTAAAAGAAGATACAAAGCCAGGAAGAGCACATGGTAATACAGGAATAAATAAAGTATTCAAGTGGCCTGGTTGATTTCCCCAGTTTTCAGTCCTTGAACGCATCACTGAAGTCTTCTCCAGGATCTAAGGATAGGTTGAAGTTTAAGGTCAAATATTACACAGCAGTTCCAGGGTCTGTTAAGTACTTACATGTGACTGGCTTCAGGAAGCACAGCTCCAACAAGCAGTAGTATAGAGACCTCCTGACACTGCGTTGTTAGTTTCCTTTACAAGACAGAATTTTTGTAGTGGCAGTTGTGTTGGAATAAAGAGAATACAAAAGGAAGGAAACCAGAAGACAGGTCGAGGCAGTCTGGGGGGTGACTCGGTGTCACCATTCATTGCTTTGCAGTGCAGAATGCATATGGCTTAGCCACTTATTGAGAAAGTAACCATAGCCTCTGCCTCTAAGAATAGCTCAGACCCCACAGGAAGACACACAGACTGCACACCTGTGAGCAGCAAGGTGTGGGTATGTGGTGTAAGCATACCTCTCCAGCGCTGTAGCTTCGGAGTCTCTGGAGGTGCTGTCGGTGAGTCAGATGGTTGGGAAGGCGACCGTTCTGAAGAGGGATTCGGGGGTCAATGAAAGTGGTAGCTCGGCTATTGTGGTCCACGAAAAAAGACTGCAGATAAACCGGGGTGGGGGAAAACACTGCATGAGAATGGGCCAACATGGAGTCCGTGATAGAAGAGAATGCTACAAGGCTTGGTCACTACTATGCCTATTTCTGCCCAATCCCCTCATTGCCTTTTAAAATCCATTCAAAATTCATCAAGCTTAGAGGGGGACTGAAGCACTGTGCATCTGTTTGTTCAGTAGTTGAATGAAACAATATCAGTCATTGATAAACTCTTGATACTGTTTATAGAGCAGTGATCATAAAACTCTACTCAACATGGAAAGCAAAGACAAATAGAGTCTTTGATGAATTAAAATAACTTACACATTTTATTTACTTTTAAGATAATTGCTCTTTTGTTTATAGAATGAGCACATCTTCACTGAGCAAAAAGATAACTAAAAGTACCTTAAATATCACAACCTAAAAATAATCATTAAATATGTTGATGATATCTATTCCAAATCTTTTGTTTTCCTATGTACATATAGAAATATTTATTTCTCCACACTAGGATCTAAAATTTTGTTATAAAATTTCTTTCTTATTATTTTATGAGTGTTTATTAAATATTCTTCCAACACACAATTTTGATGAGTATATGGTATTAAATTTGATGGATGAATGATAATTAAATTCAGTATCCTTTAGTGTTGGGTATATGACTATTTTACTGTCTTAAAATAACAGCACTCTATTCCATAAATCCCTGTGGCATGACTAAATACTGTGTATGTTCCAATACATAGAAAAAATGTTAAATTTGAAATTATTTCTCATAAAAGACATTTGCATCATAGGATGATCTTCCAAATACTCTCTTGAACAAGAGGTAACCTTTGATGAAGACATATTAGCCTTAAATGACCTCAACTGATGTTTTTCAATGTCACCTAACAGAAATCAGATACAGATTAAGACATTTTTCTTGGGAGGTTTGAGTTTATAGTTTAAAGTATTAGATGTCATTGTAAACAAGTCTTTTAAAGAGTTCCAGGAACAGTTATACAGGAAGTGGTTCCATTATGGAAATAAAAAATATGTCTCCCAGGGACAAAGGTAAATTAGACTCTGAATATCATGTGAGCAACATTTGGCTTGCAATGAGATTTCCTGAGATAGATCCCACTGTGTCATAAAAGGCTGAATGGCAGGCTGCAACTAGAGATGATGTGCCCTGAAAAACTGTTAAACAATTAAAAATACAAGTGAAGAATCTAAATAAGACTGAGAAAATCCAAAATTTATCAAAATGATCAATTTGTCCATATTAACAAGAAATTTTAAACACATAAAATTAAGCTAAATTAATAAATGTTAGAGATTTTATTATTCAAATATATGCATACAAATTTATAAATTAAGTAAAATAGGTTCCTTATATTTGTACATATGTAATGAGTTTTTTATATAAGTTCATAAAAGTTGAATTAATTCCTGGATTAAAACTTAGAAAAATATTCAGGCTATTGATCCTTATTAGCAAACTACCTATATGACAGCTACATAGATTCCATAAATCCATGAATCTCTCACCAAGCTCGGTAATTTTGAAGGAACTCTTGGGAATATTAAATAGTAAATAATCGTGAATTATAATTTACGACGGGACAGACAAAAGAAAAACACTTTTTCATGCGAGTATTATCTGCTGTGACAGAACATTTCCCCCATGTGAACGTATACGCCTGTTCCCTGTTTTTGTTGTTCATAGTGGGGTGTTATTTAAACATGTGTCTAGTTGCACATCTAACTTCAAATTTGCTTTTTTGTTTTGTTTTCTAACATGTAGAATTTCCTATATTCCTACATATTCAGATCTTTTAATCATTTCTCTCTAGAAGTCAGTTATATTTTATAATTTCTAGCTTTATTTTTGGTGAGTTGTTAAAAGGAAATCTTTAATCTTCCTGAAACTTATTTTGGTAGAATAGTGTTTGTAATTTGATATTTTCTCAAAGAGCCCATTTTCTCTAATTATCCATCTCTATAATTCTACTACACATGAATTTCTTATAAAGACTGCTTTTTGTCTCAGGGATATTTTATGTATCCAATGGTCCGTGGGCTTTTCACTGGTATCACATTATTCTAATGATTTCCTCTTTATCTTTTCTAAGGTGTTTTAGGTATTCTTGTCTGTTTATTTGTATTTTTCCAGATAGACTGATATTAACTTTATCAAGCTTCAAAATAGTTCTATTGGGACTATATTTAGAATTTACTTCAGATTATAAATGATTTTGGGGAGAACACTTTTTTAAAAAGATTTACTTATTTAAAAGTCAGAGTTACACAGAAAGAGGAGAGGCAGAGAGAGGCAGAGGGAGGCAGAGAGAGGCAGAGAGAGGCAGAGAGAGGCAGGGAGGGAGGGAGGGAGGGAGGGTCTTCCATCCGCTGATTCGCTCCCCAGATGGCCACAGCAGCCAGAGCTGTGCTGATCCAAAGCCAGGAGGCAGGAGCTTCTTCCGGGTCTCCCATGAGGTTGCAGGGGCCCAAGGACTTAGGCCATCTTCCATTGCTTTTCTAGGCCATAGCACAGAGCTGGATCGAAGTGGAGCAGATGGGACGCAAACTGGCACCCATATGGGATGCTGGCTTTTTATCCACTATACCACAGCACCGGCTGCAATAATTTTTTTCTCTTTACAAGAGTTCCTTTACTTTTTTCCTCCTTTTCTTGTAATACTAGTGAAAAGCTATATTTTGGGATTGCTTTTTATTGAGTACTTTCTTATTTTTAAAATATAAATGCATTTAATTATTATGTATTTTCTAGCATTTCTTAAATTAATCAACTAAAATTTCTTAATAGTTTATAAACTATTGGTTAAAATACTAGTGATAGTTTTACTAGTAGTAAATGATCCTTACACCTTTCAGGAAAAAAAATAACTATTAATTGCGGTGTGCCATTCCTTTAATGTGATATCTAATCTAACATTCTTTTTTTTTTTAGATATGAACTGTTTAGAATTCAGAGTTTTATCTAGAGATTATAACTTTTAAATGTAGGATTCTCTAGTCTTACTGGAACTCAGGTGATATTTGTACAATTTTATCACATGTGTAGGTTCACGTGTCTACACTGTTAAGACACATTTCATGATACAGAGTCCTTCAGGTGCCCCCTAAACAACCACCGTCCCCTCCATCCTAGCTCCACTATCACAGTCGCTGTGATTTCAGCTACTCTGAGCCTCCTGTAAGTGGAATCGTATGCTAGTTGCTCTTGTGTGTCTGCCTTATTTCACTTAGCGGAAAATCTTAGGGTTCATTCACATTGCATCACATATTAAAGTTTCCTTCTTTTTAGGGCTGAATAATTGTCCACTAAATATATAACACATTTATTCGTTCTTGTATGCCCTAGTTTTAACAAAAGAATGTCCATTTTGTTAACATAAAATTATTTTATTCAAATCCTGACTTATTTTGTCTACTTAATCTATCAAACTGATGGTTATAAAAATGTTTTCCTATTGTGGCTATATTTCTTCCATTTCATATTTATCTTTAGTTTTCTTTCATTTAATATAGTATGGTGTTATTTGTCTCATAAAAGATATTTGAATTCTTTATATTATTGTCACTTAATATAAAATATTTGACCTCACTTAATGACTATGAACTTGGATTCTCCTTTATATGATATTAATGCGTTACCACTGATTTTTCTGTTATTTCCACACTATATTAATATTTATCCCTTCATTTTTAAAATTTCTGAATCACTTATTAGGAATGTCTTTTTTATAAACTGGATCTGTTTGCTACCAGCTCTGAGGTGTTTTCCTTTTGATATGTAAGTTTATCCTATTTCCCCTATTGGCATAACTGTTATGCTTGGCTTTACTTTTGTTATCTTGTTTTTAATATTTCCATTTTCTTTGTGACTATTTTTGTATTTTGTGAGACAAACCATATTTTGTTTGATTTTATCTTTTGTAGGAATTTGGAAGAGAAAAATCTTGTTTTAATTGGCATAAACAGTTGTCTCTTAAGTGTGTCAAATAACTATATTTAGCCTTTGTTTTTCAAATCATCTGAGTTGACTCCACTTGCTCACAGCTGGAAGCTTAGCACAGCTTCCCTTCCCCTGCTCACCTCCCTCTTCTCACTTCCTCATCATTTTATTCCAGTCCAGGGATACTGACCCAGATTGTTATCATGCAACCATTCTGTTTTTATTATATATCTTATGCTGCTTCTATCTGGGATTTTAAAACTTTTAACAGCAATGATTTACTTATCTGTATTTGATTATCTTTGCCACCAGTCCTTTTTATGCTGTGCTAGCCCCACTTTTGACATATTGTTTTGGTTCCTTAGTGATCTTTCTGGACTGGCTTTTGATCAGGATGGACTGATAAGGATGACTAAAAGAGTAGGGTAAACTGTGATCTTGCACATGAGATGGCTTTTCTATTGTCTTTACTCACCAACAGCAAGTAGTCTGCCGACGGGACTTTTCTCTACAGCCTTTTCTGTCATGTCTGTAGTTGTTGCTCTGTGGATTTTTATAGTTCGGGTTATGGATGAAAAATTTGAAGTTTGTCTGATTTTTATTAGGTTGTAGGTAATTTTCTGTTATCATGGCTGCATACTGATAAGATTTTTAAAGTTTCTATTTAGACACTTCAAAATATATAGCTTTTTTATTCTTACTACAACTCAGAAAGTCCAACTAATCAGCCCATGTAAATATTTTAGATCAGTAAAGTTCATTTTAATATTTAATTAATATTCATTTTAATGAAAGTTAGCTTTTAATGTTTACTTATTACTGCTGTTCCTATTTCTGGCTGCTTCTTCAGCAATCTCTATAAGTGATTCATCCAACAGAGATTTACTGAGTGCCAACTATGTGCCAGGCACTGTTCTTGGCCTGTGGGGTTTCATCAATGAGTAAAACAAACATTTCTGCTTTCAAGAAGCTTAAAATTCTGCCAGAAAAAACAGACAATAAACAATAAACCTAATGTGTAATTAGTAAACCTAATGTGTAAATTAGTAATGGTGGAATACATGGGTTAGGGACCTAGGGAAGTTTGTGGTATTAAATTGAGTGGGTGGGGTATGTTTCATAGAAAAGATATTTTTTTTTTTTGCATTTTTCTACCTTCTCCTCCACTATTGAAATTGGGTCCTTTCTTTATGCTTTGGGGACTGTTTGCACGCCTACCTATTCCATCAGTGGCTTGATTTTTCCATCACATCAGTTTTGCTATTTTATCCTGACACTAGGACCTTTTGCTTTCCCTTGCAATCTTAAAATGATGGTTTTCAGCCTGCTTTATTATGTCTATTTCACTTCAATTTTCTTTGTTTGTGGCCTCATCCTCTTGTTTGATAGGAGTCATGTGCTCCTTGTACCATTTTGTGGATGAGGAAGAGATACCTTTTAAACAAGTCTCTCTTTTCTGAAAAGTCTACCTTCTGAGAAAAAGATATACTGTTCTCAGATCAAGATTCTGTTTCCCCTGTGTGATAGCATCTCTTTATAGACTCCTTCTCCTTTAATTATTTATTTATTCCTTAGCAGGGGCTGTCTCACCATTGGTGCCTGAACCACACCCCTTCTCCAGAGGGCCATCTCCTTCAGCTCAGACTGGGCACTACTGTGAAGGCCTCCAGCCCTCTCTTCCAAAGCCATCTTTTTTCTCAGACCTCAAGATGATGATTCAGGTACCAGTCTGTCCTTTGCCCTAGTCTTCCTGCAGTGACACGGGTCTGAGGTCTGCCTCTGCATCTCTCTGGGGGATGGCCATGCATTGAAACAGATGCGACAGCTTTTCCCAGTTCTACTTCCTACCACTGCACACAATGGCAGCAAAGGTTTTCACCTTTGAATATGCAGATAAAGCAAGAAGCATACTGGTCCATGTGAGGGCCAAGAGGATGACGCTGGTGTTTTGGAACCTATTCTGTCCAGCTGTGAAGGTGGCTTTGGCATGCTGAGTTACCATCACATCACTTCTCAGTGAGTCGCGTTCCTGACTCCCTGTCTCCTGTGCAGTACATTCTTTCCCGGCTAGAGGGTTGAGCCTGTAGGATATAGCCAAACAAGTTTTCTCTATGTATTTCCATCCTCATGGGCCTTGGCAAGAGGGTGTTCTTTTTTATTTCCCTGTCATGCCAGCCTTGAACTTAGCTGTGTTTTTGGGCATCTACCTGGGCATTAAAAGGAAGAATAGCAGAGACTACTAATCTGCCTTGACATCACCATGATCCCCACATCAACTTACTCTTCACATTGGCTTATGAAAGCATGAGGACAAGGCCAGTGTTATTATTGTTTAATGATAACCAAAGTGCAGCTTGGAGAGGGGAAGTGATATGACCTGCTCCTAATCGCTTACTTTGTATAGGACGGTCCAGTCCTCATGGATGTACACCCCACCCATCATATTTTTGTCTACTATCCTCCACGGTTCTTCTCTGACTATGGATTGTGATAATACCATTTCAATTGAAGTTTGCTTTCTCCAGCAGTTCAGGACATGGTATGCCTCTCAGAGGTTCTGCCTGTGAACTCTGAGCTTGTAAGTGTGTGAGTGTGTGTTCAATTTAAAAAACAGGTAAGACTGTGAGTGTGTTTGTGCGTATGTTCACATGTCTAGTTTGTACTGTAAGTAAAAGTAAAATTTAAGTCTTCTCATTCCAAAATTCTATTTATATATTTTCTTTTTTGTATGTAATACCCTATCACTAAGCAGAATGTGGGGGGAGGGGGGGTTGGCGTGGATTTCTTGACAGAAAATCTCTAACATACAATTCCAAAATGGAAGATGACCCTTGTGTGTGTCGGCTGTTGTGTTTCCACCTTAGTGTGATGACCAGCAGGCGTGAGTGTAGTATCCTCTAGTGTTTGTGCTATGGACAGGCGGAAATGATCACACTTGGAGCCTTGCCCTGCCACTGGGCTCCCCGTTGTCTGCCTCCTGGTGCAAGAGCTGAAGTCACAGCCACCCAAGGCTAAGCAAGTTGTTCACTGAGTGTGCTATTTGCATAATAAACACTGTCATTCTCATCATTAATTCCTAGTGGTGTCTTCTTGTATCTGAGTAAAGCAATCAACATAAACGTGGCTACTGAAGACTTCTGAGACCAGGTAGGTACCTCCCAGTTCTGATGAGATGCTCCTTCAGACCTTCTGTTCTGGGTCAGGTTTATTTCCCACCCCAATTCCTATCAGCAAGTCCTCATGACACACAGCACTGCCTCCCCAGGGGAGGCCACATTCTGGCCAGGGTAGCTTTCTGCTACACAAAGCAGGTGTTTTACTCTCCCTGAAATTCATCCCCGACTACAGACAGCTGGTCCTAGAATTCATTTCACTAGAGGACTTGTATTCGTGAACACATTTTTTTCCTCACACATTCAGAAGAGTCCAGGCTCTCAGGCACACTAAGGCGCTTATGGGAGAGGGATCCATTGCTCCTGGGAAAAATGGTGTCTCATTGGCCCCATTAGCTTTGCAGATCCCCAGTCACAGAGAGGGCTGCTGGTTTTCATGACCATAAAATGGGGAGGGATTCTCTCTAGTGAAGTTTATAGAAAACTACACAATGACAATTCCTTAGAATTACTTGGCCTTCGCTACAAATACAATGAGACGACTGATGATTAACAGAATATACGCTCACATTAGCAAACAGCTAGGCTTCCAAATCATGGCAGCAAAGGGCTGACTGGGTTAAGGACACACAGAGCCACATGCAGGCCAGGAAAATCACAAGGGCCCAGCACACCCCATCCCTGATAGGCTGTTTTAAGGAGAACTGAAGGGCTATTAGGGAAATCTAAACAAACTAATAATGTCACTTCCATTAACCAACAATTTATTGCTTCAAAACTAGCACCTAAGGAGGAGGCAAATCTGGTTTCACGTTTCAAACCCAGTTTTAAAAAGATGAAGACATTGACTTCAACGGGGTGTGATTTTGCCTCCCAGGGGACATTTAGCATTGTCCCAACCAGGTGGATTGGGGGTGCCATCATCATCTAGGGGCAGAGGCCAGGGATACTGCTCAGCAACGCACAATGCAGCAGACATGCCCCTTGCCCCAAATCCCCAATAGAATGCTGAGGCCGAGAGACTCTGATGTGGTTGTCATGGCCTCCCTCCATCCCGGAGGCCAACAGCCCATCTCTGAGCCCCACAAGACCTTCCTCCCTGCCATGCTCCTCCTCGCTTTCTCACGTCTTCTCCTTGGAACACCAGAGAATTTCAGCACAGCCCCGCACATTGGCCAGACTCACCTTTCCCTGCTGGTCTGTTTTGATCTCCCAGCCCCGGGGCAACTCCAGCCGAGTGTCAGCAAACATATTGATGAAATTCACCAAGTCCCGGTTGTGCTGGTAGCGTTCAAAATTGCGGGCGTCTCGGCGGACTTTGAGAATCATATGCTTTAAGCAGGTGCTACTGGTGAAGACTCGGTAGGCACTCTGAGACAGGTGCAGAGGATTGGGGTAGAAAGTGGGATGTTAGAAGACTCTCAGGCCACGTGCACTTTGAGCAGTTCAACAAGACTCAAATGTCGTTGCTACACAGCAAGTTATTATGAGCATGAGATCTTGCTCAAGAAGCCAGCACACATGGTCAACACACATAGATCTATCAGCCACCCTCACCCTGCCTGACTGCTTGGCAGCCTTGGAAACAGCTGTCCGCTGCCGTATCTCAGTGCTCTCCTCCCTGTCTCAGCTGCACCGGGTTCTCTTTAGCCTCCCTCGACCTTCCTGAGCATTGCTGCTCTGCTCCTCCATGGTTGGCTCCTTCTCCCCCCACTGCAGAGGTGGGGTGCTGGTACCCTCACCTGTCTCACATAGAGGAGCCTTGAGGATTTCGGGCTAGACTTCACAGGTCCATCAATTCTTTAAGTCCTATGTAAAAACTTGAGTTTACGTGTCTGGACAAGATGGGGGATGAGAAGAAGGGTTCAGAAGTGACACGTTCATGTCCGCAGGGCTGCGGTGTGTGTCTGTGTGTGGAAAGAGAGACTATGTGCAGCCTCAAGAAGGGTTGTCCTCGTGGCTCCCGCCTGTGCTCAGTGCTGAGACCCGAAGACATCAACATCTGCTCTACTTGTTCCTGCTTTGGCTTCCCTGCTGCAGACTTCTGCTAAAAACAGAACTCTTCCTCCTCCCTCAGCCACAACCCCCTCCCTGACTCAAACTTCTGCACCTGCTCACGGGACTCAGCACCTAACTGAGGTGCCCAGAGCAGAAATGACTCAGTCTTTCTCCAGGCCTCATCGTCCCCCTCCACGTCACGGAGGACCCAGCGCTGCGACTCTCTGAGAAACAGCTTTGACTTGAGCCCTTCCTTGCCCGTGCTCCCTGACCCCTCCTTGGTCTGGCCTGGCTCATCTTTCACGTGAGCGTTGAATCAGCCTCTGGTCCTGGCCCTTCCAGCCTCTCCCCAGCACTGTCAGAGAAGTCGCTCCACGGAACCAGGTGGTCCTGCGGCAGACCATGGCGCATTCCTGTTGCATCCGGAAGCAGCCGTGCTCCCTCCCATGACTTCCACGGGTGCTCAGCCGCTGATTCCCCAGCACCTTCCCCTTCTGCTGTCCTTTACACCTGACTGTGTTATAGCCACAATCTTGATATCACATCTCTGTCCCTTGGCCTGGTGGCCTGCTGCTCCTGCAGCTCCTGCCACTCCCAGAGCACTTGGCCCTGTGACCGTTTCACACTCTAGCCTCACTCCACAAGACCAGGAGTGCTTACTGTGCAGACATCATCCGATCTGTCTTTGTGACTCTAGCACCTAGATCTGTGCCCAAACCACAGAGAATGTTTGTGGACAGAAAGAATTGATGAATATAGGGGCCGGCACTGTGGCGTAGCAGGTTAAGCTGCCGCCTGCAATGCCGGCATCCCATATGGGTGCCGGTTTGAGACCCAGCTGCTCCATTTCTGATCTAGCTCTCTGCTGTGGCCTGGGAAAGTGGTGGAGGATAGCCCAAGTACTTGGGCTCCTGCACCTGCATGGGAGACTCGGAAGAAGATCCTAGCTCCTGGCTTCGGATCTGCACAGCTCTGGCCATTACAGCCAGCTGGGGAGTGAACCAGCAGATGGAAGACCTCTCTCTCTCTAACTCTGACTTTCAAATAAATAAATAAATCTTTGAAAAAAAAAAAAAAGAATTGAATATAGCAATATCATGCCACTGCTTTCTAGAAAACACCAAACCAAAAAACAGTGATGAAAACAGCACTTATGTAAAGTCACATCAAATTTAACTTACCATATTGGAAAGATTATCAGAAAGAAATGCAATGATTTATCTACAAGCAACCTACTTTAAGATTTTTTTTAGTGAAAATGATTTTATAAAATGACTTAGGCTGAAGAGAATTTGGTAGCTTCACAATCTTGCTCTTCTAAAACTGTAACAATAATCTAAATGCTTGTTGGTTCCCATGAAGCTAAGGAAAATCCAGAGAGGCCTTTCCAAATGCAGCCTTTTTGCTTTTGGGGAGACTCACAGATGGAAGTACTGGGCTGTCTTCTTTGATGCCTTGCCTGGGGTAAAACTCTGCCCTCTTTGCTCTATCAAGTGATTTTACATAGTTATGTCTTGGGCTTTGATGGAGCCAGGTCAGGGACCCTGTGCCTTTCGGAGCACTCACATAGTTGGCGTGCAGCACAGTGAAGAACTCGGGGTTGGTGATGAACTTGACCGCTGGAGACTGGAGCAGCAAGGTGATCTTCTGTGAGTTCACTGGAGAAAGCGAACCTTCTCTCCTGAGATCTGGAAAGAGCGAAGCAGAGCCACAGAGCACATGGGGAAAAGTCATTGGAAACACAGTTCTTCTCTCCCTCCATGGCAACAGCACACAGGCCTTCACCCACACAGCAGCCTGTTGCTTCTAGCAGTGATGTGACCAGGTGTCATAGCACTTTATTGAGAACCACTATTTCCTTGTAGTGTTCCCGTATAACTTCAGGTCTGAGAAATCTAACATCTCCTCTCGTTTGTCCCAATGACTTGTTTCCCTGACAAGTAGCTAATCACAGCTGTGAAAGATGGTTTGCAGAAGACTGCAGTTTTTCCCCTTCCTGTCTCCATACCCATTTGCAATGGGACTGTGCACTCCTCCCTCATGGAATCAGGGCTGGCCTTATGCCTTGTTGCAACCAATAGGGTAGAGCAGAAAGGGCAACACGTCAGTCCTGTGTATCTACACTGTCTCTCCTGTATCCCTGCCAGCACCCCAAGGCTAAGCATGGGCTAGCCTGCCACAGGACAAGAAGCCATGGGGAGTGGGGGCAAGCCGCCTGGGCTCAGGCCATCTCCCACCAGCTAGCCCGTAGCCCATACAACAGCTGGGACACATGTGTGATCTCAGCTGTATCCTGGGGAGCCACTCTTGGAGCTCAGCTACAGACCTAGGGGACCAATGAGTGGCTGGCTTGGAGTTTAAGTCATTAACCTTGGGGATGCTTTGTTACACTTAAACGCCAACTGAAACCATTCCAAACCCAGAAACATTTTATCTTCATTTCCCTCATGTTTCCAATCAAAGAAACTAATGGCAGAAAAATCTCAACTAGTTAGCTTAGCATATCTGGTAAAGAGTGGCAATTACAATTTTTGTTAGAACTTTTGCATGGATTTGAAAAGAAGTCACAGGAAATTGTTAACTTCCTGTGTTGCCACAGAGAGCCGAGACCTCTGGGGACTAGAATTACAGAGTGTGCTGGCCTAGCCCATCCACTGGGCCGCCATCTTTCAGCAAATCACCTGCTATAGGTTAATTGAATTTAAAAGGAAAATTGGCTGTTAGGGTGTTACAATGGTACTCTTAAACCATTATGGGTATGAAACGTGGACGCCAGTCTCAGGCCTTTAGACGTTTCCTTGTCTGAGTTGTACCCAGGCAGATTCAAGAAGAAACCAAAGCAGGGGACCTCTACTGAGGAGGTGAAGCTGCTGTTGGATGGCGTGCACAGCCATAGGCCTCAGGATCCTTTGCCCCAGGTTTCTCCCCAGGGAGAACTGAATTCTTCCTAAATGCAAACTCAGTGTTGTCACATGGCTCATTTGAAATAGACAAGATTTGCATTGCATGTTTTGTTTATAAGGGGAAAATCCTCAGGACAACAACAAATGATTAAGCCACAGAAAAAGGTGCCTTGAACAAACATTATAGCAAAATCAGTCTCATCCCCAGAATTTGTCTGCTTTCCTATCTTTAGATGCCCAAGCAGTGGTGGTGGCTTTCCCCTCACCGTGAACCCACTTTTCCCTCTAAATTGCCTGGTGGGAATCTCAGCTCTTCTTTACTTTATGTTGTGGACACCGTGTCTCCTTCTCCTCTGCCCTGGTCCTTTGCTGTTCCTTTGTTGTCTTTACACCAGGGTGCATTGCTATCCCACACACAGGTAGCGGGAGGGGCCTGTACACTCGGTCACACAGCCACTGGATGCCACCCCAGGACCTGGGTGCCCCTCCTCTAATACCTAAGCTGGACTGGGAAGATTCGGCCTCTGAGTCACTCCCTCCACCTCCTCCTGCAGGCCCTTGCTCACAGGTTTGGCTGCCAGAATCTTCTTCGGGCCTCTCTGTTGCAATGGTTCGCTGAATATTTTGATACCTTTGCATTAGAAAACAGAAAGGCAGGAGTTAATTATGGATTGCTTATTGGGGGACTGATGCTCTGAATCAGATAACTGGAGAAATCTGTAAAACGTTGTCTTGAATGCCAAAGAAGTGCTTAAAATTCCCACAAGTTGACAAAAACACTCAGCAAGACAAGAATCTCTAGATTATTTGACTTCATTTTGTTTGATAAAATATGATGAGTTTCAAGTATGGTGACTAAAAAAAATCAACACAAATAATAACCAATCATGCAAAACAGCCTGTGCTCTACATTACAGAAAATCAAGCTAAGTCTTGATAAGCAATGGTTGTAGGAAGTAAATGAAAATGTTACAACCAACCACCAGGAGAAGAGTCACGGAGAAGGAGGCAGGGTGCTTTGCAATAGCCCCAGTAGTATTTTGGATGCTATTACTTGGGCTACAAGCTTTATAACAACAACCAGACCAGCATCAGGTTCACCTATAGGACCTGTTAAAAGACTCAGCCCACAGTTTCTAACTCAGTGTGTCTGAGGCAGGGCCTGAGTATTTTCATTTTTTAGTAGTTCCCAAGAGACATGATGCTGCTGGCCCAGGAATCAACTTTGAGAACTGCTGCTCTGGGTCATGGACAGCTGCTGAAAAAGAGGGACCGGCCCATGTGCACTTAGGATGATCACTCTGGCAGGTGAGTGTCAAGGCACCACGTGGGATGCCTGCATCCCATACCAGAGTGCCTGGGCTGTAGTTGTCCCTGCACTTCTGACCCAACTTCCAGCTAACGTGTGCCCTGGGAGTTAGCAGCTGATGGCTCCCACCCATGAGGGAGACCTAGATAGAGTTCCTAGTTCCTGGCTTCAACCTGGCCCAGACCTGGCTGTTTTGTTTGGAGAGTGAACCAGCTGATTGACAACCACTCTTTGTCTCGATTTCTGTTGCTATGATTTTCAAATAAATTAAAATATGCCTAAGTCTCCTTGCCCTCGACAGCTGCTCTATGTCATGTTCCCCTGGAGGCAAGGGTCCAGCTGTCCAGTTTCTTTGGCTCTGCGTTCCTTCCTCTGAGTAGCCCCTTGTGCCCTTCCTAATAAAGCTTCCCTTTGGCCTAGGATCTCAGCCTACTAGGCCACATGACCAGGATTCAGTTTCCCTTGTTGTCAAGACAGGAGGGGAACCAGATAAGCGGACATTTCAAGAGAAACTTAGTGTCAGAACTGGTGGTAAGTCTACAAGTAAACTCAACAGGATTGGGGATCTGACTCTGTCAGGACTGAGGAAGAGGGAGGACACAATTGGGAATTCAGTTTCTGCTTGGAGCAGGCAGGTGGAGGTGCCAGCACTGAAAAGGAGCTCAGAGGATGGGCAGTGGGGAGAGAGGGAGGGGAGGTGTGGGCGTGGGTGTGCACATGTTGCTACAGAGGTTCCTAAGGTCACACAAGTCACACCATCCAGGGGAGTGTGCCTTAAGGGGTCTTGTGCTCTAGTTTGTGAGGGAGAGCTGGGGGGAGGGTTGACATGTCGGAGTAGGAGGGCCAGAATCCAAAGCCAGGAATAACCAGGTCTCCACATGCGGCCTATGGTCAGGTGAGGGCGGAGACTCTGCACTGCACAGATGAGGTTCTGAAGACCAGCGCCCCTACAGAGGAAGGCGTTCCCTGTGCGTTCTCCACACCCACTGCAAGACACTTTCCAGGATGATTGTCAAAATCACAAAAAATAAAGCAATCCCTTCGTCTTCTTTTCTAACGAGCTCTTTAGGCAGCTAGGGTTGAGAAGCACGGGTCTAAGGGCTCCCTAAGTTTTATTTAATGCAGGAGCTTCCTTTCCCTGTAGCAGCTGCTGTAGGCATTTCCACAGGTCTCTTACAACAAAATGTGGAAGGGGCGGGGAAAAAAGCAGAGAGGAAAGGGAGTTTGAGAGAGCAGTATCTGTTTATTTCATGCCCGGGGAGGGAGGCTGTGCAGCATGTGGCCCTCTGGGACAGTTTCTCTGCTGGTACTCAGGCAGTGTGGCATGCTGGAGGCAGAGTGGGTGGTTAGAAGCTGCCCTGGGTGGTCATCCTGGCCAGTGGTAATCAGGGCCTGCTGGAAACTCTGGAACCCACCAGTGGGATGATTCTTCAGTGCTCTGGGGCAGACTATTACTTTCCCCAAATAACCTCACAGCACCTTTTGTCTTGTCCTGCATGCTCTACCAGAATCTTTTTTTTTTTTTTTTTTTTTTTTTTTTTTTTTACAGGCAGAGTGGACAGTGAGAGAGAGAGACAGAGAGCAGAGAGAAAGGTCTTCCTTTGCCATTGGTTCACCCTCCAATGGCGGCCGCGGCTGGCGCACCGCGCTGATCTGAAGCCAGGAGCCAGGTGCTTCTCCTGGTCTCCCATGGGGTGCAGGGCCCAAGGACTTGGGCCACATCCTCCACTACACTCCCGGGCCACAGCAGAGAGCTGGCCTTCTTCCAGAATCTTACTACTCTTATTTTAAGAGGTGGACTCAAAGTTCCCTCTTCTTTGGCCTGGGAAGATCTTGGGTTGACCTTGGCTGTCACAGTATAGGTGGCAGTTGGATTGGAACCCCTTGGCCATATCCACCTAGAAAGTCCCTAGGCAGGTGATATTCCCAGCCAAAGTCAGCTCAACCTTAGGAGACCCTGTCTCCAGCCCCAGCTACCTCCAACTGCAACCATGAGCAGTCCTGAGCAAACACTGCCTAGTGGGGCCACTAGAGCCATGAGAAATGATGTTAACACTTGTCCCTGTTTTATGTCACTATATTTGGACAAGAGTTGGACAACTGTCAAGTTGTGGCCTCTTTTTCCTTTCTGATGTGCGGTGGTCACAGCAAAGAATTCTCTTGAGTACACAGGATCTTATATACGGATGACAGTGTCAGCAGTGTCGCAGCCTGCTTCCTCTGTCCTCAGTTGGACGCTGGTTATCTCATGCTTCCCTGGGTCAACACCCTCAAACATCAGGGACTAGAGCTCATCCCTGACCTTTGCTGAGTTGCAGGGGCCGCTTGGGGAAGCTGGGCACACAGTGGTTTGTGAAAGGATCCCTGAGTGAGGGCCGTCCCCTGCAGCCTCAGAGGCTCATCCTGCTTTAAGGAGAGAGAAAGTCAGAGAGCTGCTTCTCTTCTGTTTCAAGAGTTATCCATCAATGCTCCCTCCACTTTTTTTTTTTTTTTAGCAAAAAGTTAGACATTTACAGCACATAAAGGGTTCACAGAAATTTGTAACTGGACACATGCAAACTAACCAACCAAATAGAACAATAAAAGAACTCAAGAACAGACAATCCCATGAGTGGAGCTACAGTTATTAAAGAAAATTTATGCAAAACTTTGACGCTTCCTCCAAGAAGTAGAAGGTGAGCACTGGCAAATGGCAGAAGCACCTGCTAAATCAGCACAAAGAAACAAAAGATAAAATGGAAGCAAAGCTACTGTTGGCAGAGTGAGCCTGTAGAACCACTCTAGAAAACAGGTATTGATAGAAAACACCCAAATCACATTTATCTCCTTTGACCTGCTCTTTTGGAAAGAGAACCCTAAGGGAGCACTATTATAAAGATAATCTTAATATTTAACAGTCCCTCAGCAGTCTTATCAAAAATAGTGATAAAAGCAATAAGAAAAACATTTATCAACAGGCTAAATCCAGTTAACTTAATTACAGCCATTTAATGGAATACTATACAAGCATTTAAATGTTAAACAGAGGATTATGCTGCAGTATGAAAATGCTCATAGTGTAGCAAGTTAAAAAAATCACTGTAAAACTACATAAGGTTACTTCAAAAAGTTCATAGAAAATGGAATTAAAACACATGCTATTTTCATGCAAAAAGTTTAGAAATTCACACCCAAGTTTTCCTTAATATGCAGCTTCATAAACTTTTGGAAGATCCTTCATATGCATGGATCTTTTGCACCAAAATAAACTGATCATTTAATTCCATTTTCTGCCAACTTTTTTATGAAGCCTCTCCATATATTATCATTATAACTATGTGAGAATTGTGCATACCTGTGGAAATTTAGGATCAATACATTTCTTTTAGAAAGGTAAATTGTTTGGGTAGTAGAACTGTATGCCATTTTTTTTCTATTTAAAATATTTATTTCCCTTAATATTCTAATAATTTTATATAAATAACTAAAAAACAAAACTTTGGTTGATTATTTAAAATAAGATACATACTTATATTTTCAGCTGGTCAATACCTGTGAAAGTAGAGTTAATTAATTCTGGATATTCTGAAAGTATAGGAATGAACTTGTAACAAACTTGTACTGATTCCTATTGAACTTGCCACACACACTAGATGCTGGGAAGCGTGGGGATACCAGAAGGAAAAGGCAGGAAGGTAAGACTCTCACAGAGGTTGCATTCATGAGGCTCCAGAGGCTGAGGTCTGGATCACGGGGAGGATTCTGGGAAGGTGTCAGAGGGAAGAAAACACTCGAGTTAAGCTACAGGATGAGGAGACACGTTCCAGCTGGGAGGCAGACAGCAAGGGACTTGCGCACAATGGAGCCGTGAAGGCCTGGAAGAGTGCGCCATATCTGGGGCATGGCGGAGTGTGAACAGGGTCCCTGTAGCTGACTACACAGCTTTCAAGTTGCTAGTGTGCTCCCTGCTCTTCCCAGCATGCATCTTGCACAAACATATCTGAACTTCACAACCATCCAGCAAGGAGTCAGGAAGACTCCTTCTGGCAACACTGGAAAATATTTCCATTTTTCTGGAAGACAGTGATCATTGTAAATTTCTCCTGGTAACTGCAAGGTATCACAAACAAACAAACAAACAATGACCTGTATGTGTTACCACATGGCGGACAGATGAAAGACTCCCAGGATGTGTTCTGTAGCTGCTTGCTGCCCAATTATAGAAAACTTCAAATGTGAGAAATCCGTGGGTTAATAGAATTGTTGAAAAGCCTACACACTTATCTGAGGGGATGTGGCACTTCCTAAGTAGATTTTTTTTTTTCACAAGAAATAAACACTTCCTCAAGTCACAAAATTCCTTTTCTTTCTGTCTACCCAGATGGATGCTGCAAACACAACTTTGTATTCAGCGAAGTCCAGGTATCTCACCCAGCATGTTCAGTTCCACTGGAGGTCACAGGAACTCACGCATGGAAGGCTGCAAAAGTTCTTTGGAGGCCTTCTTTGCAATGGATTTGACCTAATACTTATGTGACACAATCTGAACACCATGGATTTGCACGGATTTTTATGACGTAGAGCAATGTGCTTTCTTCTACTCCAGATTTCCTGTCCTGTTTTGCTTAATATTCAAAAAGCATCTCTTGTTGACTTAGCTTGATGATACTATTTCTCAACCTGCTAAACAATTTCATCCCATCTGTACTGGCAAGACAAACCTAGAGTCTAACTTCTGCCCAAGGAACTGCAACAGGGTCTCTATGAAATGAGCTGGCTGGGTTCTCTACATTTTTAGTAGTAGATTTGTTGCCATCATCATGAGAGGGTTCTCCTACAGATTTTGGTGTGGTCCTAATAGAGCTGGAACTTTGAAGTTCTTCTTTGCAAAATATGCTGCATATGAAATATTTTTATGGAGGCTGGCATTGTGGTATAACAGGTTAAGCTGCCACCTACAATGCTGGCATCTCATATGGGAGCTGGTTCACGTCCCAGCTGCTCCACTTCTTATCCAGCTTCCTGATAATATGTTGGGAAAGCAGTAGAAGACAGCCCAAGTCCCTGGGCCCCTGCACCTGTGTGGGAGACCTGAATTAAGCTCCTGGCTCCTGACTTCAGCCTGGCCCAGCCTTGGACATTGTGGCCATCTGGGGAGTGAACCAGCAGATGGAAGACCTTTCTCTCTCTATCTCCCCCCTTTGAAACTCTGCTTTTGAAATAAATAAATCTTTTCTAAAAAATATAATCCTTTATGGTTCTTATTAATAATTTAAACTCTAAGCAGCTGATGGGGGAAAATGCATGCAAATGTTTTCCAAATGTTCAACAATAAAAAATGTTCTGGTGACCTTCACCAAATGCATGTTTCTCTGTGTACACCAATAAAATGTAGCTCCATTTTCTTGTCTCTGTTTTTCATAAGATTAAAATTTCCAACTGTTTTCTTTCTGGCTGATACAGCTACATTTCAGTGACTATCAATCAGTGTGATCTATCATCCCTGCGTTTTGTTCGTTTTAGTTCCTCTCACCGTTTCCTTCACCTTCATTTTTGACATGTAAACAAGAGGACATGTGGCTGTAATTACAACTGAAGGCTGAAAGTATCTGGAAACCACCTTTCTGGTCTTACAAGAAAAAGATCCCTGGGACGATGTGCTATACTTGCTTAAAGGATGGATTTTATTGTTTAGGGTTTCATGTGCCATCCCTTACATGGTATATGGTGAGGGTTTCGTTTTTAAGCAAAACACTTCTCAAAAAAAAAAGTTCTTGAATATTTATTTTTCTAAGATTAAGGCCTTTTAATGTTTACTATTGGGGTGGGTCTTCAGTGCCGTGGGTTAAGTCACTGCCCGAGATTTCCACAGCTCCTATCAGAGAGCCTGTGTTTGAGCCCTGTCTGTTTTCCAGTCAGGCTTCTTGCTAATGCGTATCTTGGTAGGGAGCAGGTGATTGTTCAAAGTAGTTGGGTTCCTGCCACCAACGTGGGAAAGTTGGATTGAGTTTCTGGCTCCTAGCTCTGGCCAGGTCCAGTACTGGCTGTTGTGGGCATTTGGGGGAATAAACCAGCAAATCGGAAATCTCTCTTTCTTCCTCTCTTTCAAATACATAAAATGAATAGATAAAAATAATCTAAAATACTACTATGAATGGATATGTAACAATTATGATGATCAGGGCAGAAATGTACACAGTGATTTAAGAAACATTTTTTTGGCGGCGCCACGGCTCACTAGGCTAATCCTCCACCTGTGGCGCCGGCACACCGGGTTCTAGTCCTGGTTGGGGCACCAGTCCTGTCCCGGTTGCTCCTCTTTCTGTCCAGCTCTCTGCTGTGGCCCGGGAGTGCAGTGGAGGATGGCCCAAGTCCTTGGGCCCTGCACCTGCATGGGAGACCAGGAGAAGCACCTGGCTCCTGGCTTCGGATCAGCGCGGTGCACTGGCTGCAGTGGGCCTGCTGCAGCAGCCATTAAGGGATGAACCAACAGAAAAGGAAGACCTTTCTCTCTGTTTCTCTCTCACTGTCCACTCTGCCTGTCAAAAAAAAAAAAAAAAAAAACCAAAAAAACAAAAACAACTTTTTTTTTTCCTGCAGGCAGCCTTCAGTATTCTTATGGAACCTGTCCTTTGAATGTTCTTCACTGTTTGAACTCCATAGCGATTTGAGATTGTTATGATGGACATGGACTAGTTTGTCAGAAGAAAGGTGTCTTTTTGAATATTTTTGCATAGCATTTCTGGAAGGCTCATGAGTTGCTAAGATCCTTGGTAAATATACTGGGGGAGGCGGGGGCATAGGCTCCTGGTTAAGAACTCCTGTTTTCCAGCCTGGAGCATGGACAAGTTCAGAGCAGTCCTCACCTTTAAATGACACTTCAGCTAACCTTATCGCCTGCTACCAAATTCTAAATCTCCTTATGCAGGTATGTACTATGAACAAGTTTCTTAAGATAGTTATTTACTTAGCACCCTCCTACAACCTGAGCAGCAAAGTTTAAGAGGAGTTTCCTTAGCTGTCACTCTCCTGTCACTGTGATTTATAGGAGCTCATTGCATACGGATCACCAACCGCCTGTTGAGTTGCTCCATCTGCTGGATGGACCCAGATCTCCGCATCCCATCTGGGGTGGCTGCTGCTGTCGGACGCTGCCAGGTGGTCGTGCGGTTCACATGGTCCACGTAAAAGACCCGCCCGTGGCTGTCAATTCGAGCTTCCCAGTCTAGTGTTTAACAAAAAGGCAAGAGGAAAAATCAAAGACAACGACAGACCCCTGGGAAACAGATACCACTACCAGGTCTTCTGTAGGTAGAACTCACCGTTGGTTTGTTGCCGAAGGTTGGACACCACCCTTACTACCTACCATGGTTTCACGAGCACGGAATCAAGCATTCCAGAAATGAGCTTTTGGTTTCAGATTTTCTGCTATACCATTTTAAACAGTAATTGTGGTTCCTTGGCTATGACCTATGTTAAAACTCTAGTGATGTGTAGAGAAAAATCTGATAAGTTCTTTCTTTAATGACAGTTGTGGAAGATTGGGCATGTCCTCTGTTTAGAGCTAACACTAATGCTAGAGAACCTTCTCTTTTCTAAATCTACTGGAATTAGTAGAGAGAACAGTGGTCCTCACGTTAAAACCAGCTTTACTTTTAGTCCTAAATACTGTGCCTACAACTTCAGATGATTTCTAAGACTTAATAAATTTACTTGATTGCTTTCTCTCTTGAAAGGGTGAATAGAAGAATTTGATACTGACAGTTCCAACATATCCATTTGAAAAACTGTAAATCCACAGTGTATATTTGATTACCTGTGGCTGCCAAATATTTCTGACTAAATCAACCAACTCAATAAACACTACTAATAAACACCCAAACTTTTTAATAGCTCTTTGTTGGTAAGTAACCATTCCAAACAGTAGAGGGAGCCCAAGATAAAGATAAATTCCTTTGCTTCCCAGGTTAAGCACAAAAAACAAAACTAAAAGGTAGAAGCGTAGATGATCCACTACATAACACATGTAGTGACCAGGTACAGTGAGGTACATGAAAAAATCCTCAAAACTCAAAGAGCTGGAAGTAAAGTGTTCATATCTCAGCTTAACATATGGGAGCAATGTTTGCTGTAAAGATGCACAAAGCTTTTAGAATTCACATGTAAAAACATGGTGGAAATAGCAGCATCATGATAAAGTTATGCCGAAAATGTATTAGAGCAAAATAAAAAAAGCAAAAATGATTGTCAAGGGGGAAAAAACCAGCCTGTTACATGAGGAAAGCTATAGCTTTGGGGAGTAGGTCAGATATTAACAATTCCGTTGAAAACTTACCATTCAGGTAATGACATAGCAACTTCCAAATTTTTAATGAAAAATATACTTGATATTTTTTGATACCTATGTGTGTGGTTTATCTGTTTGTGAACATTATAGGCTGTGTCTGATCTGAGGGACTGCCAAATAATTTCCAGTGGAAATTAAAATACCAAACACTAAATTTAATTTATAGATAAATTGAAGGAAAAATGTGAGTACATAAATAGGTTTTAGGAGATTTTGAGTAAAATTGATTTTGAGTAAAACTGGAAATAGCCAATTGTTGCTATTTAATTCAACTGAAAAAAAAAAAAAAACCTTCTTTTAGCACTGAGTATGAACTGGAAACTATGGTAGTGCTGAGTGATATATATCCCTGTCCTATGGGGGCTACAGGAAGAGCTTCTATTTCCAAATCCCTCATAGAAATGCAGACAGACTCCCTTATCAATATATTAAACATCTGCAGTGTGCAGTGCTAATTATACACTACTTTTGAAAAATTACATACTCTTTAAATATTCAGGAAAAATAGGTAAGTATAATTAGAAATTATAAGTGTGCTTTCTGAAATGTTATATTTATTTTTTTGTTATATTTATTGTGCTTTCTAGATTGTTATAATTATATGTTTTTCATAAGGTCCAAGAATAGTGGAAAGCCACGTAATGTATATTTAGTTATTACATTAACAAAAAACTGGAAAATTATGTATTTTGAAAAACGTTAGCAAATGCAATACGATGATTAAAGTCTAGACCTGTCTCTTTAACTCGAGAAACACATCTGCTTGCTTTCTTGGTGTCACTATCTGGATGAATTTCAAATATGAAATGATCAGAATTAAGCTTCAGATCTTTCCTACTAAACCTGGCTCTACTCATAGCCTTCCTTCCTATTTTAGTTGGGCTAACACCATCCTGCCAGGATAAAGCTCCTGGGTCACTCTTGATTGCTATCTTTCTCTAACATCCATTATCATCCATTATCAAATCTATTATCAAATACACCTTCAAAATATGTATCCAGGATCTGACCATGTCGCACCATCTCCACTGCTCCCACCCTGGCTCAAGCTGCAACCATTTCTGTCCTAGGTCACTGGAGTCTTCTGTTGGATCTTGAGCGCCTGTCCTTTCTCCTCAAAATCCTTTTTCCACATAGCAACTAGGGAAAACCTTTCAAAATCTAAGTCAGACAACGTCACTCCTCTGCTTAAAGCCCCGCACTGTGGTGGGCGTTTGGTTTAGTGTTAAGATGCCACTTGGCATCCCTGCATTCCATAGCAGAGTATCTGGGCTTGGGTCCTGGCTGTGAGGCTGATTCCAGGTTCCTCCTCGTGCACATTCTCGGAGGCAGTAGGGGATGGTTCAAGTACTCGATTCCCTTCCACTCACGTGGGAGATCTGGATTGAGTTATTTGTTCCTGGCCTCAGTCTGGCCCAGTCCCAGCTGTTGTGGGCATTTGTGGTACAAACCAGTGAGTGGGAGATCTCTATCTCTTTTAAATAAAAAGTAAATAAGTAAAATCTTTAAGAAAACCCCACAGTCTTGCACTGCCCCCTTTCATCCAGCGTAAAAACTAAAGCCCATGATTGATCTGTAAGGCCCTAGTGATCTGGGTTCTGCTATCTTCCTAACTTCATCACCTCTTGCTTTCTCCCTTCCTCAGTCTGCTGTAGATGCCCTGGTCTCCTATTCCTTAAACCTGCCAGGGTGTTTCCACCTAGGGACTGGCAGTGGCTCTTGCCTTTACCTGCAAAGCTCTTTTTCCCTAACACTTCTATAAATAACTCCCAATTCTATAAATATCCCTTCCAGTATTGCCTTCCCAATGAAGCCTGCTTTGATCACTCTGTTTGAAAATGCCAACCAGCCACCACCTCCTATACAAAGTCCTATTCTGCTATACTTTTATATTTCCATCTCACTTGTCACCAACTAGTATGTACACTAATTCCTTTGCTATTTTTTTGTTTGTTATCTCTCTAGTGTTTGCTTGAGGGCAGGGATCTGTTTTGCTTACTTAACACAGTATCTAGTACACAGTACACAGTAAGCATTCAGCAAATATGTCTTCAATGAATGACTAGCAGCAATGAAATCACTCATGTACTAGGTGAAAGTATCTTTAACAAGTCCATCAGTAGAATTTCCTAACAGCTTTCTAATATTTTTCAAGGTTGTGGGGCTGGAAAATTGAAACCTAGCCAGAAAACACATCACTCTAATTATTGTAAGTAGATTATATTAAGTAATTATTTTCAAATGAATTTATGTTAAATTACTTATAACATCTGCATGGATATGAAGTTATTAGTATTGCATGGACTCAAAGTCAATTTATGCACTTAGGAATTGATGGGTAATTTCTTGTGGGAAAATGTCCCTTTCCTGGACAGCACATGATACAGATCTTTTTCAGGTAAGTGCTAAGTAGAAGCTATTTATAGTGATACTGAACATTACTATTCCTTTATGGAATACCCATAAATCAAAATATAAATAGCAAAATCAAATATCTAAAATTAAAGGAGATAATGTTTGGCTTGATCCCTGAAAAACAAATATAGTGTTCCTTTAAGATAGTACACTTATTAAAAATGTTTATTGTTTTCTTGCTGATTAAATACAATTAAATAGGGAGAAGAGTGGTGTTCATTCAAAATACATCTCATTACCAAGAACAGATGAGTTGAGAAATAAGCATTTCTCCTTTCGAAAACTGTTACTACTTATTGTAAGCACAGGCAAAAGAATGTGTGAAGAAACACTACTGGTTCCTTGCATCCTAGAAAGATGTTGAGGTTTTAAAATCTATCTAGTCTTAACGGTTACCTTTTATTGAAAAACAAGCCTAAAACAAAAGAGAAATGTTCTAGAATTCATGAACATATGTTGATGCTAAGTGGTGTCGGTTCCTTCTTATAAACTTATTAAATGGAACATTATAGGGTTAAAGTTGGGATGGTGCTGGAGACTGCCTAGTTGAAACTTACATTTAACAGGTGAGGACATTGTATTTCTATTTTACAAGTGAGAAAATACTGAGTTTCTGAGAAAGTAAATGAATTTTCAAACTTCAGATAATTAGTCAGATAATTATTAATTATGACTATAGTAGCTAGGAGAAGATGATAATGTATTTTATCCTGAATATTTTTCCTGGAAAACCCTAAAAACTATAAAAGAAATTTGGAGCTATTACCCATTTAAGCAACTGCAAGTTCATGAGCCCAAAGGGCTGAATTTTTTAAATTACATAGGGGTGCCCATGATTTAACATATCCCATGGAGAAAAACAGAATCCTATGTCTTTAAATATATGTTTTAAATATAATATTTGGGACCTAAGGGTCATGAAGAGTTTTCAGGAATAGTCAAATCTTATAAAGAAATCGTTTCCATTTCAGAAATTGAGGGACACTGAAAATGTTCATTGGTCTCTTCAAGATCACATACTGAAACCAATAGTCAAAAAAAAAAAAAAAACCCACACCCATTTGTACAGGTGTCATGTTGATTTTTGATAACTCTGTGAGGTATAGAGTTGGGGAAGAGTTTGGATGTTGACATAACAAATTTATACTGACCTGTTTAGACTTCATAGGAAGAGTAAGACATAGATTTTAAAACTAAAGCTTACTTGGTGGAAGAGGCTCATCGATTGTTGGGTAGTGATGATGTTCAGGCCTCAAGGAAGGAAGCTGGCTTACTGGCTGGGAATTATGGAGTCTAGGACATTCACCTATGGACAAGATAGTCAAGACATTCAGGTTCATTCATTGCCGTGACAACTTCATCAAAAAAGCATGATTGTAAAACAAACTATTTCAGGAAACAACACCCAAAGAGTGGGAAATGTGTGTGCGTGTGTGTGTGTGTGTGTTTGTGTGTGGTTTGCTACATAAACAGTAATTTATGAGAGATAGGATCATTAAAAAAAAAAACACGAAGAAAAAAAATCCAAATTCTTCTTGACAAACGGTCTGTGCTCCCCAGAACAATATGCAGGATCAGAGACTGTCTGTAGCCACCTGAATTTTCTTGAGTGAAGGTGGCATTAGAAAGGAACACAAAAGAAAGTTAGTAGAGCCTGCCTTTAGTCCAGTGAAGGAGGTAGGCCTGTTTGGGTAAGTGTAGCATTTGTCAGGTCCCATAAAAACTCAGTGGGCTTGTGCAAAATTTTACCCCATTTAGATAGGTTTCATCAGAGGGCTGCAAAGAAGCCATTTTTCAAAAAAATAAAAATTTCTTCCAGAATGAAGCTCTCAGATGGTTTCTTTCCAAGAGGAATCAAGGAGCTGATGGGTGGTGAAGGCAAATTCCTGAGTAGGAAAGTCAAGGGACCGGGTGGGGAACCGAGGTGCTGTGGGACTTTATGGCTGTGCCACATTATTTTGAGGAGGAACCAGATAAGTAAGTCAGGGCGCTCTGGATAGCAAAATGGACAAGAGACAAAGGAAGGAGATAAAAAGCAGGAAGACCAAGACAGGAAACCTTGAGACACAGAAGCAGGAGAGAAGGAAGAGGAAGAGCAGACAGGGAGAAATGCAGAAGTGAACATGCTACCCACAGAATGCATGCCTCAGATTATTATCGATGTGGATTCTATGCTGTAAGTTCAGATTTGTAAGGAACCGCACCATGTTTTAAGTGCTTTTGTTTCATGATGTCTTTGGGGTGAGTAGAGTGGCCACGTGGATGGAAGGCCTACAGCACCTGCTGTTTAAGTCACAGACTCAGAAGCCATTGCTCCTAATCTTTGGAGAACTAGCAGGGCCAGACAGAAGACAGCTTCCATACTGGTTTCTGCCTGCCTCACACTATGCTGGTCAAAAAATCCCTTATTGGCCAGAGGACAAAGCTTGGATCTTTTCTTTTCTCCATGGCTAATGCCAACAGCAAGTGTTCCATCACCCTTTGGGTTGAAAAGGAGAGACACTGTAAAGACAGTGGTTCAGATATTTGTGGGATGTTTACAAATATTCAATGGTTGAGTATTTCCTAGAATGTCCATACATGGAAAGGATGACTACTTCCTCTCACACTAGTACCATAGAATTGATCAAGAATAAAATTTAATTAGGAGGGAAGTAAGATGGGCTTAATTTTGCACTTTAATTCCTGGGACTAACTGGCAAACAAAAAGAGAGATATATTCAAGAACAAAGGCCCTTTTAAATGTGAAAAACATAAAATAAATAAAAATTTAATGTTGTTTCCTGTGTATACTCTAGTGTGTCACTCAAAACCTCTGGGTCCTTGGGGACACCAATGGAGATCAAGGAGGGTGGTCCTTGGGCCAGCAGACTGTGGACAGGCTACTGTTTCAAACATGAGTTCTGTCTTTAAGCACATACCTTGTGTGTTTAGTGTCACAGATGAAATAAAGAAAAGCAGTACTACAGTTGTTATGTCATCAGCTGCTTCAATTTGAATTTAGTTTCTTAAAAAAACAGCAAACTTACCTCATTGTAATTAATTCAACCAATCGGGTTAATTACTCCTCCAAGCTAGTAGAAATACAATATTCTTGTTTGCCAGGGGTTAATGGAGCTGACCCCAGCTGCTTGTGAATCCCAAGCAAATGCAATGATGTGACTGACACTTTTCAGCCAGCTGAATGGATGGAGTGCACTTAAAAAAGCAAGCGGTTCTACTCTGCACGAGGCCGCAACGACCCATAATTACCCTTGCATCAGACACAAAGCGAGTGCTCGGACCTGCTGGAACCCCAGAGAAGGAAATGTATTCTCAGCCAAAAACACATGAGGTCCTTGAACTTCTCTTCTGCTTATAAATAACATGAGCAAACTGCAGAAAAATAGGGACTGCCTACCATATTAATTCGAGCAAAGTGACTTACATCTGATGCAACATTTTCCCTGGATAACATGGTGCAGGAACTGTAAATCTGAAGGATCGTTTTGCATGCTTTATGCAAGACAACCTCAAATATTGGTCTCTGTTTACCTGCCTGGAAGAGCCCTTACTCTTGTGAGAGGCAGCCCACTTTATGGTGTCATCTCATTTAACTCTTCCAATAACCCTTGGAGCAGATTCTACAATTGTACCCATTCTGCACCTGAGCAAACCGATCGAGCAATGAGGTAACTTGGTAAGGGAATGACAGGACTGCATAAAAACCCAGGACGACCACCTCGGAGGCAGGGACTGAACTAACACACACACTACCACATTGCTCTTCTCATTCTTCCATAGAAGCATTTTTTTTTTTTAAAAAAAAGCTCTTTGAAATTGAGCTTAAAAAAGAGGTTTTTATGGCAGGAAAATAAGGAGAAAGTTCATAAATACTGCTTCTACAATTGTCAGTTCAGACTTAAACTGCCCCATGTTCTAAAAAGGTGCTCCTCCAAAAACTGCCGCAGACTCATTTAAGTGAGTATGCACGCAACAACTCTATCTTGGCTAATCTAATGCAGTTTCTATACCTAAAGAAATAAGAGTCTAGAAATCATGGGTAGGGAGCAATAGTGACTTCTACATATGCACAAGGCACCAACAGACACGTGGTTGCAGGCAGCTGTGTTGAAGCCCTGCTTGCCTTAAGAAAATGCTCTCGTGAAACCTGGTAGTGAGGGAGCACAGTACAAGTCAGGCCCTACTGAGGAGAGCGTGACTGGTTGTGTGAAGTCAGGTGCCCATGTGTGCCCGGTGTCCATGAAACCAACAGTCCCTCTCGGGCGTCTCTGTTATTTCCCATCATATCTGCCATAGAGGGGCACACAGGTGCTTCTCAGCCTTTTCCGAGTGTACCGTCTGCAGAACTCAGGAATTCAGAAATCCATCGAGAAAGTGTCCTATGCAGACTTCCACTATGGCCTGAAATACTGCCCTGCCTCCCCCATCCCACTCCACTGCAGAACATTAATCCCTGAAGAGCATGAAGTCTTTTTTTTTTTTTTTAAGTATACTTGTGTATAAATTTATGCCAAGCCAATTTTCAATGATTCATGTGTGGGTTTTCTTCCAATATTGGGGCCAAAATACTCTATGGGCTAAAACAGAGGTTGTAGGGCTCTGGGCTAGGAATTGTTATTACACTTTCAAATGTTAAAAAAAAAAGAAAAGTTTTCGCATGGGAACAGTTCCTTGATTTTGCCTCTTCACCCGCAACACCTAAAATATTTGCTACCTGGTCCCTTATAGAAAAAATTTGCCACACTTTCACCCAAAACTTCCCCCCAGCTCCTGTATGTGGCCCTTGTGGGAATCTCCGACTGTTCTTTCCTTCTTTCAATTACATTGCAATACTGGGGGGGGGGGGCTTCTGGTGCCACTCCATCCTCCTGTGCTCAGCCCACGGCATCTGGCCTCAAACAAAGCAGGCACTGGAAACGTCTTTGTTAAAGGAAGGAATCCACCAGCCCCTCACCAGGGTGTTATTTCCTCCTGTGATGATTTTTTTTTTCTCCACCAACTTCCCTATGCTGCCACCTTCCCTCGCTCTCTCCTCCGAAATGCAGTACTGGGCATTGGTGAATACTTGAAATTAGTTTTTATGCTCACTTTAGTTCCTGTTCAGAAGATTTGCAGGTGCTCAGAATTCAAACAGAAAGAAGACACAATTCTGGCCCTTGATGAGCTTACAATCTAGAGAGAAAGCCATCACTTTTTGTTTGGAGTCTAATTTAAACAGCGGAACAGCAAAACGTCCAAAGTATGTTTTTCCCTTTTGAAACAACTGAATTACTCCATGTTAGTGCTTTCCATCCACCCCACCCCCACCCCGAAATTTCATGATCACTTGACTGGAAGATGGTTCTCAGTCCTGGATAAAGAAAGGCAAGTTAATGTGACATAGGATCCCCCAGGCATGACCAAGAGGGACCGTCTTTCATTAAAACACAGAATACATTTTAAAAACTGAAAGTGGCAGGTATTGGGTTAGAATCGTATTTGCAACAAAGTGATTTATGTATTCAAGGTATACTTTCCTTCCATTAGCAAAAATAGCCAACAACAATAACAACGAGACAACAAAGGAAACAAAACCAACAACAAGGAGGAGAATTGAGCAGACAGAAACCATGACAAATATGTGTAGGCTACGTATCCATACATACATGGGCTCAACTCTAAACAAAGGTAAAGAATCTGTGCTCTTCAACTACCATTAACATTTATTGCATGTGTGGGGGAGTTGGCGGACGTTTACACGTGATTGACCTCACGGTGATGGCCGGTTATTTCCCGCTTATCCCATTCAATACTGGTCTTGGCGCTTGGGTTGCTGTTAAGACCAAAAGGACAAGGTACACTAACCAGTCCTCCTGCTGAGGTCAAACAGAGGGGTAGCACACATACAAGGGCACGCTCACACCGCATCGCTGGGCTGCCTCGTGCGCATCTGGGACAGCAGGTGGTGTCGCCTATCATGCACAGAGACACAGGCACACGGAGACGACAGACAGGCACACATCGCCTCGGCAATCCCGGGGCAGACACACTGGCCCCCGCCCCCGTGTCTGTGACCCGCGCGGGGGAGCCCTGTGTCCCCCGGCTGGTCCCAGCCTCACTCTGCTCAGGTTTGAGGTCTAACCTTCTCTCCGGTGGCTGGGCCCGGCCACGGGCGACTCGAGGCCTTCGGCCGTTCTCGCCGCGTTCCCGCCGCCCGGGGTGCCCGAGAGCTCGTCCGGCCAGGCGCAGATGCCGTTCGCCGACTCCGGCTCCAGCTCCGGGCTCTGCACCGAGTCCGGCACCGACTCGAAGGCGCTGTTCTCCTCGTCGTCGTCGTCCTGCGAGGAGAACACGGTGCTCTCGGAGATCTTGGCGCTGTCCACGGAGGAGAAGCGCGTGTGGCTGGCGAACCTGCTGCCGCCGGGGTAGCAGGAGGGGCTGTAGCAGGAGGCGCTGTGGCAGGAGCTGCTGTAGCAGGACGTGCTGTAGCACGAGGAGCTGTAGCACGAGGGGCTGCAGCACGAGGCGTCGCAGCCCTCGCAGCTGTGCTCGCCGCCCTGCCGCGGGCTCGAGTCGCTCTCGCTGCCGGTGCTCGGGTGAGCGTCGCCGTCCGGGCCCGCGTCCCCCGAGGGGCCAGGGCGCCCCGTGCCTGGCACAGCGCCCCCGAGCCCTTCTCCGTCGTCGTCGTCCAGGGCGGCCGGGTCGGCGGCCACCGTGTCCACCTCGCTGAGCCCATCCTTCTCGGAGGAGTCCTTGAGGGTGGACTCCTCCTCGGCGCCGTCGTCCTCCTCGGCCGCGGCCCCGGCCTGCGCGGCGGGCAGACTGTGCAGCAGGGTGTGGATGCGGATGTAGTGGGTCCGCGGCGTCTCGGGGTCCCCGCACGCCGACGCGATCACCGTCTCCAGCTCCGACACCGGCAGCGAGCACGGCCTGCTCTTCCTCTTCACCGAGGCCCGCAGCTGCAGCCTGCCCTCCCCCGGCTGCAGGGTGGACACGTCCCCCTCCTCCTCCTCTGCCTCCTCCACCTCCTCCTCGGGGCCCTTCTCCTCCTCCCCGCCTCCAGCCTGGCTCTCAGTCTCCACTTCCTCTGCGCCGGGCTGCTCGGGGCTGCCTTGGGCCTCACCGTCTTCCAGCAGCAACAGAGGAGCCTCCTCCCCCAGGTCCAGCCGCTCGGCCAGTTCTTCTGCACTTGGGCCAGGCTGGGTGTCCTCTTGCCCCGGGGCCAGAGGCTCTCCTACCCCTTCAGGCCCCACAGACACCGCGCCGCCCTCTCCAGCCTCGGCGGTGCCTGCCGCTGCCTCAGCCGGCCCGGCCAGCTCCAGGCTCTGGCTCCCGGAACCATCCCCGACCGCGCCCCCCTCACTGGGCAGCTCTGGCTTGGAGCTGTCCCCGGGCTCTGGCGCCTCGCACGCGGGGTCCTCACGACTGCCTCCCACCAGGTTGCTCCTGGGGCTGTCCTGATTCCCCGCCGACTCAGGATCCGTGCTCATGGAGATCTCCTCATCATCTGTGGGCGAGAAGAAAAGCAAATCATCCCTTCCTGCCGGCGCAGTGCACCATTGAAATCGGAGAAGACCCCCCTAAAATTTACACTGAAATGTGGCCCCTTAAAGTTCCCTAGAAATGCTATCCGGGGTGCCACATGTGCTACCAGAATCTGGGGTGCTATACGATTTCACCACGGGCTTATTACTAAGTCCCCAATATTAATAAGCCCTAGAGGGTTCTTGCCTAATATTTAGTGAAGAATTCTAAATACTGGCACAGATAAACAGGGCAGCATGGTACATTTTAGGCTTTTATTTAGTGAGAAAGATGCATAGGAGAGTGAGAGCTTTATTTAGGAGAGAGAGGTGAATATGGGGTTCATACCGAGCACCAGGAACCAGCCACGTGGAAGAGCATCTAGGCCTGTATCTGGGCCAGGAAGCCTAGAGCACATGGCCTGAAGGCCATGCACCCTAGAGGCACGGGGCTACACCAAGCCTCCTCCTGACAAGAGGCCAGGGAAGAAGAGCCGGCCGGGCCACACCATGTCCTGGCTTTTAACCCACCCAGGTGTGGCTAGGTAGGGGAATGAGGCCACTCAGGGGCTGGCAAAGGCATCAGGTAGGTGCATGAGGTCACACAGGGGTGTGGCCAAGGCGTGGCCTTCCAGTTCACAAATCTAACAATTTTAACCTATATGCCTGCTTACTTCACCACGGCTAAGGGATTTCCCACATCAGGATATCGGGTGTAGGGGTTGAACGGGGTTTCTCTCTGCCAGATCTCTGCTGAAAAACTCTGTAAAGAATGATTTCTCCTTATGTTTCTGACAGCTTGCAGTCTTGGATATATTTCAGAATTCTGGTTCAAGAGGATTTAGTTTTTGGTTAAAATATCCAAAGCCTCGCTCCTCCCCAATTCTGGGCACTAGTAGGTGCTCAACAAGGTTTGTGACATGGCTTGACAGACAGAGACAGGGCTGTGGTGCTATGGATAGTTCCTCCAGGAGCCCTGTCAAGGTTAATCTACTTGCCCAGGATGCTCCTGTGCCTGGGTCCTGCATGGTGACAGATCGGGTTCTTGGGCAGCTAGAGAGAAGAAAAGGGTGGGGTGACAGATGGGAGCAACTGCACTCATTCAATAGCTCAAGCTGGAAAGTTCCCAGTATTTGCAGTTTAGGGCAATAAAAAATGAAACACGGTCTCCACAGTAAGCAGCCATTCAAGGAGCGGCAACCTTGAAGTCTGCTTAACTTGACCTTCCAAGGAGAACCTTGCCAGATGTGCATCTCCCAATCTGAATTGCACTAGTGCAATTAATTAGTTGGGGAAAAACAACCTCTCTGGTTAGCTGTAAACCTGTCACTATGGCTACACTGAAGAAACAGTGAGTTTTATACTAAGAATATAGAAAAAGGGTAAACTTGAAAGGGTAAGATGGGTGAGGTGTTTTCTTACAATCTGAGTTGCATGTTGGGTGTAGAACAGTGGGACAGGAACTTCATGCATGGGTAGTGATAAACTCCAGACTCTAAGTTCTCAATGACTTCGTTAGATTTAACAGGGACGCATAAATGTAGCCCAGAAGGACCTATTAGTTCTCAGCATGGTCTACACTTAGTATGAGGGTTGTGGAAGACAGCCAAAGTGGGATTAGGAGGTATCTCAACAGTTTTATTCAGAGATACATTTTGGCATCAAAAAGTGAACACTGGATGATTCTGAAATTTTCTGTCTTAGATATTTCATTTTCTTGGTAATATTAGAATAAAAATCCATTGCACAATCACAGTTCTTAAATAATATGGTACTTTTCAGCTACTAGGTAGTTACGTCTAATTACTAGGTAGAAAGATTCTCATTCATTCATTGATTTCCTCGTGTGTGCAATGCTCAAACAACTACTGAGCACCTCCTACATGGGTATTGGGAGTAAAATGTTAGATACAACAGGACTCCCCTGTCAACCCCCATCCCACTGTCTAACCCTCTACCTTTGGGCCACAAGAATGAAGAGGAGCCTCTGAATTAAGGAGACAGCAACTTGGTTTCCAGAATAGATCTCTGGCTTCTACGCCTCAAATGGAGAAGATAGAGAACCACAAAGCCTAGGACATATCTGGAAAGAACTCTGGTTACTGTATTTTAGAGAAAAGAACCGTAGTATGACACTAGCCTAGGACAAGACATGAAGTTCATGCTGAAAATACCTGGGTGGATGGAGGAAGTGATCTCAAATCGGAACTGCAGCTGTCCACTCACATGATCTGTTGGAAGCCTGCGGCCAAGTGTGTAGCTGACCACCCTATCCCTAGAAAGAAATAGGCACCAACAGAGCTGGTCAATATCTTTCCTCCTGCAGATGACATAGTATGCTTGCTACATCAGTGCACAGTGTAAGCCCAGGATGTCCTGAAAATAGGAGGAGATGTGCTGCACGTCTAAGATGATCCTAAGGTAAAAACAGGAAAGTACATGTGCCCAATAAGCATGCAGAATTGCAAGCAAATCCTTATTGAATATTATAAAGCAGGAGTCAGCACTACAACACTACAAATCTGGTTCACCTCTTGTTTATGTATAGCCATGAACTTTTTACATTGTAAATGGTTGGAAGAGAAAATGAGAGAAGAGTAACAATTTGTAACATGGGAAAATTGTATCAAAGTCAAATTTCAGTGCCCATGGATTAAGGTTGTATTGGAATACCACCTTGGTTTTTTTTGTTTTTTTTTTGACAGGCAGACTGGACAGTGAGAGAGAGAGACAGAGAGAAAAGTCTTCCTTTTTGCTGTTGGTTCACCCTCCAATGGCCGCCGCGGCCGGCGTGCTGCAGCCGGCGCACCGCGCTGATCCGATGGCAGGAGCCAGGAGCCAGGTGCTTTTCCTGGTCTCCCATGGGGTGCAGGGCCCAAGCACCTGGGCCATCCTCCACTGCACTCCCTGGCCACAGCAGAGAGCTGGCCTGGAAGAGGGGCAACTGGGACAGAATCCGGCGCCCCGACCGGGACTAGAACCCGGTGTGCCGGCGCCGCTAGGCGGAGGATTAGCCTAGTGAGCCGCGGCGCCGGCCCACCTTGTTTTTTAGTTTATGAAGTATCTGTGGTGACTTTTCATATCACAATGGCAAAAGTGAGTAGTTTGGACAGAGACCACGTGGCCTGTAAAGCCTAAAATATTTGCTACCTGGTCTTTTTACAGAAACCCTGTGTTTTAAAGCACAGAGAAAATTAAAAGGGCATGGATGTCCTCTGCTGATCACACTTTTTCCAATGTGCCTTGAGCAGTGGACAGTGCCAGACATTGCATGCCTTGGAGGTAAATACATCACGTTTAACAAAGGATACTATCACAGTCAGCACTCCAGAGCCCATCCAGTGCTATGGAAATGCACTTGCCCCATGACGGAGGATAACAAGACTGGTGGGCTGTTTTCACTGACTGGCTTCCTGTGGCCACTAGAGGATGGTCTACCATCCCATCAGGACACCTCCATGGCTTGCTATTGCCTTTTTGTGGAGAGCCATTAAACTCTATTTCATTCTATCAATTCTTTTCCTTTTCCCTGACAAGGGCAAGAATACTAGGAAAATCACAGCTAATCTTGTTCTGGTAGGGGAGACCATCCCTTGGGAACATGGCAGACTTTCCACAGCAGGAGAGGGGGACAATGACAAGAAGAAATGAGCCACCAGCTTTGGCTTATGAAAAATACTCAGCATGGAAGAGCAGGTGGATTCTCTGTGTGGCTGCAGTGAGCAGGAGAGAGTTCAGTTCAGCAGGTGCAAACTGAATATCTAACACAGGTTAAGCAGCAGCATGCTCAGTGCTGGGTATAAAACCCAATAGAATCCACCCCTCTTTTTGTCCTCTAGCCTAACATTTGGAAGAGATGTTATCAGCCGTGAGAGAAGACAATAGGGAAGAGAAGGATAGAAATGAAAAGTATGATTAAGGATAGACAAGAGAATGAGTCTCAGGAATCCTGGGAAGATCCTGTTTGGGGCACCCTTGGGCTTTGGAGAGAGGCAGGTGTGCCTTTTGCTTTTGCTATGCCTCTGTCACTCACACCCTTGTGTTTAGGTAGTTACCATTTCTGAGCCATGTGTCTCACGTGGAGGAGTGGTGACAATGCCTAAATCACAAGTGCATTATGAAGACAAAATGAAATAACAAAAACCATAAGGAAAACCATTCCCTTTTGAGTTCCTGCTATGTACCAGTGACTTTGTTACATAGTTTACATGCATTTTTTTTAATCCATTCAACCACACATGGAAAGTGTGACCACTGTGTCTGGCAATGGCTGCAGCTCTGTGAGTGTCAACTTCCTTGGCTGAAGTTAATGACATACTTTTGTGCACATGACTTCACATGGACTGTAGGGTTCTAAGTAAATGCCCTTATGCTAACTATTAATGATACCAAAGTCCTTCTGAAAATCCAAAGAACATCAAATGAAGACACTTGCAAATTCTGCACAATCTTTCTCATTTCTTTGATATCATTCCAGGGGCTCCATAGGCTTATGGTCAGACTTATACCCAATGTTTTCAAGTATAGTTGTTACATGAGGAAATACATATCATATATAAGGATTTATCTGGTCTTAGTTTACATTAACAAGAACCATGGGTAGAAATGAATGTAAAAGGCAAAAAACACAGAAGTATATTCTTTTATACAATTGAAAGAAACATAGTATCAGTCATTCCATGAAAATTCCTGCTTCCAAAATTTCATCCATACTATCTAGCATTTTTAGTAAATTCTGTATCTTCTATGATATTCTACTCTAGTGTCTTCTATGATAACTTAGCATTCCAACCTATGGAAATGTCACATTTGATTAAATGTGACACATGTGGCAGGCATATGAGTGAGGTAGCATTCTTCATAGTAAAACCAACTATACAAGAAAATGCCTCATTGAAGACTTCTTTTAACACTGCTAAGGATTTTTTGTCCTTTTATATAAGTAACCAGGATACACAAATAAGGGGAAAGAAAGGGTTTGTTTAATTGAATGTTGCGGCTCAGGCAACACAATGAATGGGAGAAGCCAGGGAATATAAGAAAGCCATTTTACTTGGATGCTCCATGAGATTACACCCCTGCAGCTTGCAGGCCTCCCTGGGGCAGAGCTTATTGGCTGAAGCCTGGTGACTCTGAGCTCTCAGCTGCAGGCTTACCCTATGGCGTGTCTCTCCAGCAGTCTCTGAACCGGCATTGACAGCTTTCCCAAGAAACGCTTGATGATGGGGCGGCTCTTGGCAAACTTGTCCTTCACCTCAATTTCCAGCACATCGGTGGGCAAGGACACAAAACTGAATTGCTACAACAAAACAATATGTCACATCAATTAAATGAGAAGTTCCAGGGCTGCCCAATTCCTCGTCCATCTGCCTTGATGACATTGTCAAACACGCAGCTGCAATATATTTATTTCAAGGTCTTAGATTTCAAGACTGTGAGCCTTGTTTATTCAGTACATGAGGGGTGATGATGAGATGCTTCCTCCGAACTCAGAAATAGGGTTATTCTCTGAGATTTGAGATATAAAAAATCACACATTCAAGAGAAAGACTGCCACCCAGACCTCACTATAATTGACTAGGAAAGAAGTCATAAAGAAAGAACAGGCACAAATTCATGTATAATTAAAGACATGCACTTTCAAACACAAACAATATATTTTTCATGGTTATAGTGGCAGAGATTATTAAAAGTTTGATAATACTTTGTATTCACTCCAAACTCTGAACTCGAAGGAGTCAGTCTTTTACATTTTACTTCATTTGTTCAAAAGCATATGATGTGACTTTTAAAATGAAAGCAACAGCAATTAAAGCAACACTGTGACCACCAGAAGTTGGCTTGGCCAACAGTGAGAGTGTAGAAGACTAAGGAGGGGAAATATTGGCATCGTCCCATCTGCATGGGAGGAAGAAGTCCTGATTAACATTCAGTATTACTGTACCTTAATCAAGTGCTGTGAACAACTAAAATATATCATGATTTACTTTTATTCTCATTAATTCCTGACTGTACTCTTTCAACTTTAGCTGATATCTATTTACAGAGATAAAGTATGCTGGGCAGCAGTCAGCATGAGCTAAGGCAGGCTGCACTAACAGCCAGTTTCCACATCTCAGTGATATAAGATAGCGAAATTGCATTTCCTGCCCACACTCCTATTGTGGGCTGATGGTGCAGCCACACATTCAAACGTTGCTAGTCACAGTGACAGAGGCACAGAGAGTTCCTTAGGGCCTTCCTCTTGTAAACACATTAGCCTCCAAACAAAACTTTTCATCAAAACTAGATCCATGCCCTAGCCAGACACACGGATCAGGAAGTACAATCCTCCAGCATAACCCAGCTGGGAGGTGGACTGCAGAAATATTTGCTCAGTAGCACTAAGGATGTCCACATTTCCTTATGGGACATCCAATTTCAATTAAGAATTAGATTTAGTTAACTCCTATATAATTCCTAAAAACCAATCATTCTTGGTACTGCAAAACTGAATTTTGTAGTTAATTCATATGTACATTCAGGTCACTAATTTAAATCTTCCTTCTTTTCTGATTTAGTCACATCCTATGAGTTTAGATATATCATGTATTCATTGTCATTTATTTCACAATATTTTCTAGTTTTGCCATGATTTCTTTGTTGACCCAAATATTTTTATTTTTTGAAAATATTTATTTATTTGAAAGGCAGAATTTACAGGGAGAGAAGGATACATGGATGGACACACACACACACACACACACACACACACAGATCTTCCATTCACTGGTTCACTCCCCAAATGGTCACAAGAGCCAGGGCTGGGCCATACTAAAGCCAGGAACCAGGAGCTTCCTCCACAACTCCCATGTGGGTGCAGGGGCTCAAGTCTTTGGGCTGTCTCACGCTGCTTTTCCCAGGCACATTAGTAGGGAGCTGGATCAGAAGTGGAGCAGCCAGGACTCAAACCAGTGTCCATATGGCATGCTGACACCGCAGGTGGAGGCTTAACCTTCTATACCATTACATTGGCCCCTAACCCAAAGATTTTTAGAGAAGATTTTGCTTAAATTTGTATTTGTATTTTTTAAAGTTATCTTTTAATTATTTACATTTCATTCCTTAAGATGAAAAAGATATTAAACAGTATTTAAAATTTATCTTGGTAAATAATAATAATAAGCCATCCATGGGTCTGGTTCTGGTGTCACTGGTGTCAGATTCTTTTAATTACCTGGGACTGACTGAGCTGTCTGAGCTGTTGCCAGGATTTTTGCTGCTGGTTTGCACTAATCCTACACTGCATCCGGGCCAGGGGTCTAGCAGCACCCAGGTCTTTGCTAGGGTACCTCCCACTTGGAGGACCTAGAACTTCAAGTTTTGTCTCTTGAGTACTGTGAAATTGCAACAACCTCCTCTTGGATCTTCTGCTTTATGTCCACCTTCTCTCTACGAAGCAGCTGCAGAGAGTTGGCCCTCTTGAAATTTTTTCTATCATCGCAAATGCTTTTTATTTTATAAATTTTGTTTATTTGTGGCAGAGAAAGAGCAGGAGCACAAGTGAGAGAGAACTGATTCAGTTCCTAAATGCCCACAACAGCCAGGGCAAGGCCAGGTCACAATCTAAGTCTCCTAGGGGGTGATGGGCACCCAACCACTTGAGCCAGGACCCCTCAGTGTCCACATTAGCAGGAAGCTGGAATCATGAGCAGAGACAGGACTTGAGTTCCAGGTACTCTGACGTGGATGTGGGCTTAACTGCGAGGCCAGCTGCCTGCCGACAATTGCATTTTGGTTTTGCATTCTATCCAACTTCTTAGTTGCTTTTGAGTAAGTGTACCATGTGCTGCTCCGTCAGAGCCAAAAGCAAAAAGCGACTCCTTCCATTCTTGATTCTCCATCATCCTTCCCACACACAATGCTAGGAAAGTTTTTATAAAATTTTAATCAGAGCATGTTGCTTCCCTACTAAAAATACACCATTGGCTTCCTATCACATGCAGAATAAAATCCAGCCCCTCATTATGGTTCCCAAGATGCTGGCAGATGCTTCTCTCCAGCTTCATGTTACAGTCCCTCACTCACGCGCTCTAGCACAGTAACAGTTCTGCTTGCTTAACCATGCACGTTCATTGCACTCAGGCCTGCAGACTAGCTGTGTCCTGCATCTGAAAGACAGCTCTAACCAGGCCTTGGCATGTCTGGCTTCTCAGTACATGTGATGGTAACTTAGCAAGGCCATTCGGGATCACTGCTTTCCAAGGGAGCCCGTCTCAGTCATGTGTATCATGGAACAGTGTGATATTTTCTTCCTATTATTTGTCTCCTGTTGAAATTCTATTGTTAACTTACTTTATTTTGCATTTTGTTTTCTTACATGAAAATATAAGCTCCAGGAGCAAAGCGTTGTCTGTCTAATCTTCTAATTTTGTGATGAGACTGGTGCAGGCTGATGTTGTGTGCCTGGGGATTAATTCACTCAGCTTTGGAAGGCAGAGGTGAGAACAATGAGATGGAGGCTAGCAAACACCATGACCTCAGGCTAGAGTGGAATATTTGCTCAATCAACTTGATATTCCTGGAAACCTGCTTTTAGGACTTCCTTATTTTATTTATAGCTCTAAATATACTCTCTACATGAGCACGCTGAATATATAACCTGAATCTCTTCAGTTGCTGTGTCTGTTTAACTTTTCTGTGTAACTGTAATCTCATAAGTGCTCATTATATCCATCCAGGAAAGTAGCTAGACCTGAAAATCAAGGAGAATGTTCCCTGGGTGAAAACAGTCTGTAATTATAGTAATAATAAAGAAGATTGATCAATCAACATGCAAGTTTCTTATTTATTTCCTTTTGCATTACATTTAATATATCTTCCTTTTAATTTTCCCTTCTCACTTATAAATTCTGATAGAAATTTAATTTTGCTAAGATTTTACATGTATTAGAAAATGTGTTTCAAGTTTAAATTTACATAAATTTGAAAAAAAATGTAAGATTTTTAACGCAACACTAACTATAGAAACTAATTTTAGCATTTAAATTGTACATTCATGGTATTTTCATTGTTCAGTTCAAGCAGCTTCAATGATTTTCACTGGATATGCCTTGCATGTTAGTCATAAACATGGAAAATCTTTTTTCATACAATCAGTCTTCAAAAAGTTTATGGAAATACATACTATGAAAAAAGTATGCACAGATTTGAAAAATCTTTTGTACCAAAGTAACATCTTTAATTCCATTTTCCCACAAACTTTTTGAAGTACACTTATGAAAATATAAATACCTGAGTGAATTCTGTAGGAGCAAGGAATCACTACCTCTCTCACCAAGATGCAATGTGCAACCCAGAAGCCAGCATTGGCTTTTATGGGTCAAGGATAAAAGATTCAAGCTGGACATGCACAGATGGATTAAGCTCAGCCCAGTTGTGGTCACTTGTCTGCACAACACAAGCTCCAACCACCTGACACTTTCCAATGGACCCTACACGTTTGCAGGATACTGCGGTGCCTTTATACATTCTGTTCCCTCAGCTTGGGTGCCCGCCCTTACCTTGAAGAGGGTCTCTTCCCTGCCAAGACCAAGTCTAGTAACACGTACTCTGTGAAATCTTCAATCTGGCTTTCAATGTTCTCATCTTTGTATTCTGTTGCATTTTGTTCATCATCATTGATTAGACCATGTATTTCATTGCACTGTCTCCTACCACTAAATTGAGAACTCTTCTTGTAATCATCTTTGTTTCCTCCAGTGGTTTCTATTTCTATTACAGAGTTATATTCTCAGCAAGTGCTCCTTAAATGGAAGGAGGGTTGGTCATAGTAATTTTGAGTACCTGGTGTAAGCCATGGACACTCTTCCAAAATCCATTTACAACCACCCACAAACAAAACTGGCCACTAACAGGCTCTGAAGGCAAACCAACTAGTTCAAGTTCTGGTTTTGCCATTTACTAGCCACATAATCTGGGGAAGATTACTTAACTTCTCTGTGCCTTGTTTTCCTTACTTTTAAATAAGGAATAATAATGCACACATCATAGGGTTATTGTGAGGATTAAATGAGTTGATTACGTAAAATGTTCAGAATTCTGTTTGGCATAGTAAGCCCTATCTAACCTATCATTTATGGATTCCAGGAAAGGTGAATTAAACATGATTTCCTTTCCTTGAGCAGTTCAAAGCCGTGTAGGGAAGACAGAGATGCAAATAACAGGCAACCTCATGACATTATGGTAGAGTCTTTATGAGGAAACACGTTCCTCCTGAGGCCCAGAGGTAGGGAGAGAAGGAGGGCCCCATGCGTGAAGTGGTATTTTAGCCAAGATTCGATAGTTGAGTGGGAATTGGTGGAAGGGTTAGTTAAGATTATTCATTTATTTGAAAGTCAGAGTTACACAGAGAGAGAAGGAGAGGCAGAGCGAAAAAGAGAAGTCTTCCATCCACTGGTTTACTCCCCAATTGGCTACAATGGACAGAGCTAATCCGAAGCCAGGAGCTTCTTCCTGGTCTCCCACATGGGTACAGGAGCCCAAGGACTTGGGCCATCTTCTACTGCTTTCCCAGGCCACAGCAGAGAGCTGGGTTGGAAGTGGAGCAGTAGGGACTCAAATGGCGCCCATATGGGATGCTGGCACTGCAGGCAGCAGCTTTACCTGCTATGCCACAGTGCTGGCTCCAGGAGGCACATTTTAGATATAAGCAGAGACAAAACATGTGAAAAAAGAATGCACAAAGGCATCTGTGGACAGCAACTAGACAATGGCCTTAGCATAAAGTCTGAGGTGAAAGGCGGTGAGTGAAGCTGACGGAAGCGTCAGACGCTATGAACTGGTTTATTCGACACCTGTGTTCAACCACCTTCTCCGCTGCCTTGCCCGTCAGAGGCACGAAAGGAAAGCACTAGCTTTTCCCATCTAGGTGAGGTCATGCGCAAGCAAGAGAGACTTTTCTGCTTTCTTCTTGTTCGGATTTTGCACTTGGGACTTTAACACCAAAGACTTTAAGGATGAAGCTGCCTGCTTGGGAGTAGTGGAGCAGGCAGATTCAGAGAGCTGGTGTCCCCTGGTGGCTCCCTCAGCAGCTGCACTGACTGGATCACCTCCCTCCAGACTTGCTGTTTGGGAGAACAATCATAGCTGGGCAGACTCTCCTGGTTTACCGCTGGATGCATTCCTAACTGGGCTACTGAAATGGCCTTGAACACATTGCAGAGCAACTTGCCTTTGACATCTGGGCACTGGGGACTGTGATATAATTTAGGGGCTAGAAGTACAGTTTTGCCCACACAAACCTTGGCTGAATTCCAAGTTCCGACTGCTACTAGCTGTTTAATTTGACAACTCAGCTATCCTCGCTCTGAGCCTGGTCCCAGAGCTACATGATGAGACTCTATTCAGAAGAATAACTTGAACTTTAGGTGGAACAGAGGAAGCCTGGAGCCCAGGACCAATGAGGGTTTGCCAGTGTCCTGTCAGAGCAAAACCATTGGGATCAAAGAGTCAGGAATAATTTCAGAACATAAAGTGGATTCTAGTGGACATCTAGTGAATTCTAATAAATGCTTTAGGCCAAAACATTTCTGATGGTACTGAGTTTTATAGACATTCTTTATAAACAAATTTCTTTGAACAGGTTGCTCTAAAGCTTTTCAGAAAAGAGAGGCTTTTGTCTTTCACATACTATAAATTCCTATGGCATTTTGTATTATCCCCAGGAAATCCACAAAGAGTCTAGAAAAATGGGTGAGAATAGCCAATGCTGAATGGACAAATAACTCAAGATCTATTATTTCATGATAGTGGTACTGTCAGTGGTTTAGAATCTGTTGATACCTAGAGGTAGTGGGAAGTTTAAGTACAACTCTATTTCTTTAATGTCCACTTCAATGCTGTATGGGAGCTTTTTCTGGGAGGGGGGTAATAAAGTCCAAGAAGTCAGTGTTGCTTCTGATCCAGCTCTTAGTTGTGGCCTGGGAAAGCAGTGGAAGATGGCCCAAGTCCTTGGGCCCCTGCACCCACATGGGAGACCCAAAAGAAGCTCCTGGCTCCTGGCTTCAGATTGGTGCAGCTTCAGCCATCACAGCCATTTAGGGAGTGAACCATCGGGTGGAAGACACCCCCACCCCCCGCCCCCTGCTTCTCCTTCTCTCTCAGCGTAGCTCTGCCTTTCAAATAAATAAATAAATCTTAAAAAAAGTAGGTGTTGGAATTTAAGAGACAATGAAAAAGCTTTGCTCTCCAACATCTAATTATATTTTCTTCTTAGGGAAGAAAGTTCTATATCAGAAGTGATCTGTTCTGAATATAAAGGAAGGAATCTTGTCCAAAGCAAGTGCCTTGGATGGATGTACATGTCCATCCATAACAGATGCATGAGAATAATATGAGGCTTAGATTGAAAATATATGATTTCTGAACTTTACAAAACTACTCCTGGGTCAAGCTGGGCTTTGAACCAGGTTCAGGTGACTGTAAAGTCATACACACACACACATACATATACTCATATCTATAAGATTTATTGCTTGAAAGGAAGAGTGACATAAAAGGGAGAGATAGAAAGGTGTGGGGAGCAACTCGGACTAGACTAAGTTACTGGAATTAAGACTTATTCTATGCATCTGCTTTCCCACAATATGGCGCTGAGAAGGGAAACAGCTTCTACACAGCTGCCTCCAGTTCAACCAATAAACTGTAGGACCTGCTCCTGATTGGAGGAGAGCAGCATACTCGGCGTGTGGGTAGCAGAGTTGGGATTGGTGGAAGAGGACTATAAAGGAGGAGAGACACAACATGCACCAGGAACATCTAAGGGGAACATCTATCTGAAGGAACACCTGTGCAGCCCCCGAGAGAGCCGGCCGGCGGTGTGCCGCTCCCCCGCGGAAGTGGGGAAAGTGGCTAGGGGGAACCGCCCTTCCACGGAGGTGGAAGGGACGGTAGCCAACCCGGGAAGAACCAGCAGCAAACCCGGGGAGGGCCGAGCAGACAAAAGAACAGTGCAGGGTCCTGTGTTGTTCCTCCACGAAGAGGGGGAGTGACATAATGGTGCTGTGACTCGGATATGAAGCCTAGGCAGGGTTTAGTGTCGTTCCTCCATGAAGAGGGGGAGCGACATAATGGTGCCGTGACTCGGATAGGAAACCTAGGAGGGAAGAAGCGGGAAGAAGCAGGAAAATACCGGAGAGAGAGACTAGCAAAGAGCCTAGGGAAAAGCCAGACGGAAAAAGTGCCAGAAGAAGCTAGGAGATTGAAAGCGAAAGTGAAACCTAGAAGAAACTTAGACTCAGATACGGACTGTGGGGAGAAGCCAGGAGAAATGAGAGGGGAATATTGTTGGAAGAAAAGTTAGGAAACATACCGGGTAGAGAAAAATGTTAGGGAAAATGAAGCCGTGGGAGCAGGCTGAGGCGGAGACGTAAGCTAGCTTGGGATTCGTCAAGTCAGCCCGGGGAGCAAAAGGCGAAAGGCTAAAACCAGAGGCGGAGACACGTAAGCTAGGTTGGAATCCGTCAGATTAGCCCGGGGAGCAAAAG